TATATATATATATATATAAATAGGAATTCGTTTCCGTTACGTAATTAATAAATAAATTATAAGACATTGTGGGGATAAACTTAATATATACATAATGTATAAAGCTAACGATTAGTGAGCATATTGTCGATTAAATCACAGGGCTATGACACGCTCTTAGCGGAGACCAACGAGAAAACGTGGAAACAGAAAACAGAACAATTTATGAAGCGCAACAAAAGTGAGTCCAATCGTGATCTCTCTGTCACTGTATCTATTTCCCCTTGCTTGTCTTGCTGATTGTAATCTCCAAAATCTCACGGATGACCGTGTTTCTAATTTATGTACTTGTTCCTTGTTCTCGTTGACTAAACGGTCGAAATGGCTGCCAGCCAAGTTATTGCTGTGTTCGTGTTGTCTCAATGGTGTATATAAAAGCACGGCAAATCGTATTTGTGGCTCATACACCGATGACAATTTTCTTCACTGCCCAAGAGAGATGTGACAGCAGTCACCAATCACGAAAATAATCTCGCTCTTAATAACTGTGTCGGCGTCTGCAAATTTGTTTCATGTCACTTCACGTTCTGAAATCACAACTTCCTCGATATTTTTTTCCCCTGAACAGTTAAGGATGGATGTTTGATTTATCCTCATTCTGCGCGCGAAATCCGAGAATCCATTCTTCGAATGTCAGAAACGAGCGTCGAAGATCGTAATCTGGAAGACACGATCATGAAAATAGATGACCTTTGTGACATTAATTCTGTCGATCGTAACTGTCAGCCCTAACTTCGCCACGGGAAGATTTGTACAACCCAGAGAAAGCAACAATAAAGAGAGAGAGGGTTTTCCCAGGCGATCCTGATGTGTGAAAGTAACCCCTAGCATGCCATTTTGTCCGTTGATGTTTCAGGGTCTGACCGAACAGCAGAAGGAGATCATCGAGAAGATGTGGGCCCAACAAAAGGAGCAGTTTATGGGTCGTCAGAAGAGTACGTATGAAATTCGCTTTCGAAATTTCGAGCCGGCACTAGAACTAAGAGCTTTAAAAGAGCTTCTGGTGCTCCTCGAAACATCGAAGTACACATAATAAACATAAAATTATAGAGAAAAATTCAAGAAAACTTTTATCTTCCCCTTATACGTATAATAATGATCGATTATAATTCAAAAATTAGTAGAAATTTATATTCCATAACGATAAGACATTTTTACTTTAATTTCGAATATCCGAATCGAATATTCGAATAATATTTGAAAATTCCTTCGCACTTGTCATTATTAGTCTCGAGGAATTATAATCCAATATACATTTATCGTACTCGTGTTCTTCGCCGAATTGTGCAAAATTAATCCGTCACTTTGCATGAATAATAGCGAAGTTACCTAAGTGGTTCGGTGAGAGACCAGGCAAGAAGGCTGGTGATCCCGAATCACCGGAGGGCGAGGAAGACGTGAAGGCCGCCGTTGATGATCTCGAGGAGCCGCAATTCGATGAAGAAGAGGAGGAGGAGGTAAAGGAAGAGGAGGAGGAAGTTGAAGAGGAGGAAGAGGAAGAGGAGGAAGAGGAGGAAGAAGAGGAGGAAGAAGAAGAGGAGGAGGAAGAAGAGGAATAAATCTGCTGGCTGCTTCAGTGCACCTTATGGATGTTAAGAAATAACGTATCTCAAAAATTTCAAGAAATGATCGTTGCACAGTCTCGTTAACACTTATCGAACAAAGATCGAAGCGTAGTCAGTGGCTAAGTCGGTAGAAATGCCTACAAATGTCGACGTTTTCCATCTACTTCCGGCAACCGTCGGGCTCCTCTTCGAGATTCAAACGTCAAAGTGGACGAGATGAATGACGGATGCTATTTCTGTAGTAAAAATCATTTTACTATTGTCACTTGTACGGCTGCTACTGCTACCCTACTATTATCTATTATTAAACTACTACTCTTATTGTTACTATTGCTACTACTACTTCTCTACTATTATTATTATTATTATTATTATTATTATTATTATTATTATTATACTGTACAAACACAGGCACACAAATTATTAAAATAAATTGATTTATCATATAAAATCAGTCGTTCTCTGAAATGTTTATTTTCTTAAGTTCGCACACGTGCCATCTTCTACAATATTATCCTGCAGTATTTTTAAAAGAAGAAAAATATATTAAATGTTAAAAGTATTTATTAAAAAAGAAACATTGATTTGATTATGTAATATCCTTGAAATTAAAATATTTTCTCCAGTTTATATCTCATTCTCTAACTAGAATGTTCGATCTCAAAGCATGAAGTGAAATATTCTGTATACATTATACACATACATAGACGCTTCCCGATAGGTCTTATCATAAAATTGATATGTTGCCCTTGGTTATACGGAAGCGTTGACTTGCGGTTTTACTTATCGAGACAAGATACAGGAGCATTTTGCCGACACATATTAAATATTATATGTTGGCGATAAAGCATATACTCATGTCACGGTTTTCAATATAAGGAAGTTTTCAAAGTGAGATAAGTATTCTATCGCATATTCTACTTATATACCGAATTTGATTGGACACACTTAGTGCCCACATGATACATATTAAAATCATATTGAAGTAAGTAAAAATATTTAATTTAACACCAAGTTACATGTAATATATTAGTTAGTAATTTGTTACTCAAGAATATAACTGTAGTATAACATGTGTGTTATATATTAAGGTATATATTACATGTGACTTTGTGTTTTCTGAGAATAGAAATACATATAAACCATCGGGTTAAACTGCGAAATTTTCAATATACTTATAGTACTGTTAGATAAAGTATGTATTTTGTAATTTGTAAATTTATAATTCGTAATTGTAGTAGTTTTCGAAATAGTAGTTGTAGTTCACCTTTCAATTTTCACGTTCAAATTAAATCAGTGTACATAACTTTTTAATAATATTTTTAATATATATAACACTATTGTGTTCGACCAAATTCTTTATTAGTAATTATGCCGAATTGTACTGAAATGTTAATGATAACGATCGCGCAAAACATAAGTGTTTCATCGTTTGATATAATACGGTTCTACAATGAGATTTTAAAGTGTAAAATTAAACTTAAGCTTCACAAGTCACAAAAAATTGACCAATTATGATTGAATATGAAAAAAATAATCGACTATATGATTGATCACAATTTCATTGTAGACGCTGCTTATGTAAGTTTAAGGTGATAAACCCCAGCTTATCACATTTGTGTTATATCATCGATATGAATTGATGAATTTCACTATTCATAAAATTTCAACAAACCGTATGCAAACAGTAGATAAATTGGTTCCAATTATTATTGATTAGATAAATGGTTTTGGCAACAACTTTGGCGGGAAATTCGACATATGTTTGAAAAATTTGGATTTCAAATATGTCATTTTATGAATTTTCAATTTTTTAATACAATTATAATTAAAAATCGCAAGTTGAGTTTAGGTCCCTCCATTGCGTACCTTCGTGACAAATGATTCGAAAAGTTGCTCATCCCGTCGAACTAAGAGATTCACGTAAGCGAAGGAAATAGCGACGACGTGCGAAGAAGCCAAACCGCGAATGCCAGAAAAAAAAGATACGCCATCGGAAATAGAGTTTTGTGCGCGACGATTTCAGGAGTGCGTCGCGAGCTGGACGAGGAATGGACGTTGCGGCGATGATCCACCGCGATTAGAATTGCAAGCAGCTTCGTGGATGAGAACAATGGCACGATGGAATGAGGACGAGACGAGGAGAGTGACGCGATTAGTGATAGAGCCGATCCGTCTGTCCTGGCCCGGTGATTAATTGCTCATTCATCCGGCGTTGCTGACTGTTCAAGTAACGGCAGCGGAGGTACTAAGCGACAATTAGAAAATATTCGATCATGCAATATTAACGATCCAAAAGGTTTTTCTGGAAAAACCTCTCGGAAAGAGGCAAGAGACGAAGAAAGAGCTAGCGGCAAACAAATAATTGTGAAGGCTTAAAAGAAAAACAAGTAAAAATCTATCAAAAGGCAGAACAAATCGAAGAATATAGATTATATTCTTTATATAAGAATAAGAATATAGAAAATAATGATCCTTTTTTAAAGCGACGAGATAGACACTTG